CATTATAATGCCCCCACGGCTGAAAGGGCGAGCATGTTTGGTGTGACGGGGATTCGAACCCACGACCTTCAGAATGCGAGTCGAGCGCCCCAACCACTGGCCATGCCGGGCCTCAAATATGGTCTAACGCAGGATTATCTCAAAAAATGAGACAATTTTTGTTTTAAAACTGAAAATATAGCTTAGGGTAAAATTTTTCAAATGTTGCTTGATACAAAAATATTGTTGATCTTGTTCCAGTCCTTTTTCTTTTTTCGTGCAAACGTACAAATTTTGAAATTTAACGTTTATATTGTATGGATTGGTTTATTATTTTTTACGTAACTTAAACAAGCGTTGTGTGCCTGCCTGCTAATGTAATAGTTTGTTACATAAGGACTATATGCACTAGACGTCCTTAATTTCATATTTATAGACTAGAGGGATGGCTGCTAATCAAACACACCTACCACTAACTCTTAGGCTAAACTAATCAAAAGTGGGAGTTAACCATCACTCTTACAACGCACCCACAGCCCAAAGTAGGATGCGCGATTTTGCGGCAACGGGACGTGATCATGAATTCTCGAATTCACAATCCGGCACGTAACATACCATGCCACACCCGGCACACCAAAAAAACATTGAGTTGTTATAAAGCCTGCAGGTGTTAACAGTGAACGTTGGAGTTGAATAATTGTTTGTACATAACTTGGAAAAAGTTTTAAAGCTTTTATAAAAAACATAAATGAAATTTAAAGAACGTTAAACGTTGGGAAAGGCGATTTCAAAATTACTAGTGAAATGATAGGAATGTCGAACACTGTGTCTGGAGTGTGAATCGGAGAATTCATTGTTTGCGATCCTTTGCGGTGAAAAAAATTGCTTCGTACTTTGAAGTCGAGATAGCCAAGATTTGACGGTGGGTGCTATTGACCGTCCTTCTAATATACCAGTTGAAAATTCAGGATGGCTATGCGCAGATATGTTTGTGTCGTTTTCGCGAAATTCTAAGAGATTGGTTGGTTGATAAGTACAAAGCTACAAAATAATATTCTCCAGGGTATTTCAGTGAATAATATTATCACCAGCTACACAAACGTTGTCAGTGTGTTTTTATTTGCCAACGCATAAAACTAAGCCAAACTGCTTTTGTAATTTAGTTATTTACAATCTCAACTGAATTATTTTACCATTCTTTGAAATGGATTAATGGCTTAAACACTCAAATCTTAGGACTTATATTCGACAATATTTTATCAGTGAAGTTATTTTAAAGCAAATTAAAAACCTCATAAAGGCTTTAAAATCAAACTTGTTAGTCTTACTAAATTTCTTTAACATTAAGCCTACCTCCTCAAACAATTATAAAATTATAGTGAGTTAAAGCTAATGTAACAGCGATAGCCTTTTTTATCTAATGCTGATCTCATCTTTCGTCGACTAAGATATTATTTCGTTATGGCATTTATAGGTACGAATGAACGTACGTATGAGTCTCACTGAGTAGTTTGGAAAATAGTTTATTGAAAATGATAACGTTTGATATCAAACACATTGCCTCAAGATCTAATTTCAAATAAAATCTATACTAATCTCAACTTAGAGTTAATGAAAGTTTGTGATAACAATGATCCTCTTGACTGTTTATAACAGCTACTTGACGTCTGTACGTTCAGTCAAAATAAACGTCAGTTCTATTTAGAATGTTTCAGGATAAGGATTTAAATAAATAATACCCACAAAAACGTGTGACCCTTCTGACTTCTAGTAATGATTCATGCACCCCTGTGTAAAGGTGTTTAATCTCATTCTGACTAAGAGAAACAAATAACATTGCGTTTCAGACACCTTTGTTTTATACAATTTGAGGACATAAAATATATTAGCTGCAATGCAAAGTTCGTTTTTACCAAAACTCTCACCAGGTGGAATAATCTTAAAATCATCGTATTTAGTATGTAAACCTGACACTGTACGTGATGTTGTATTATAAGACGCGTTTTTCCACCAATACATATACATTCAGCTGTATGATTCACATCTACACGACCAATTTGTTCATGTTGTGTTTATCGGTGTACTTGGTGATAGAAACCTACCTTCTTCGTTGGTAGTATTTACCTAACTCTTGTCTACCCGTCCGTTACGGGTACCAGCCTCTATAAAGTACATTTTCAGCAGACCTGGAGCTGCAAAGGATTCGATTTTAATGTAATCAATATACAGGTGATTTGTTTCGTGCTTTAAAATCTTACGTTATCTATCTTCGAGGAAGTGTTATATATAGGTCGGGGCGTATTGTAACTATTCTAATGACTATATATTGGAATTTATGCATGTAGATATGTGTATAAACATACATTTGCTTTCCTGTTTGTGTCTATCTAATGAAAAGCTTTCAATGATTTCCTTTCCATGGAGAATTTGTCCTAAATGAATCGTAAAAACGTATTTCACAATCACAATTACACGGTTTCGTTACGAATGTCAAGTAATTTCCACAGTTTCTTTTATCTGAAATTTCATATGGTGAAGGTTTCTCGTCCAAAGTTAGACTGTAAAAGTGTTTAACCTGATTGCTTTACATATTGTTTAATCACGGAACGTGTTGGAGACATCGAGTAATAGCCTGAAAAGACACATATTCCAAATTAAAATTTTCATTAGTGCAGATGAAGCGAAAAATTCTCGAGCATTTTGTTACCATTTGGCATAGAAATATTACACTTGGGGAAATAAACTGACTTTTAATGTAATTTATATGCATGTATTACTTACTGCTTACACGTATATATAAGTAAAATAATGTGATTTCATTTACCAGGTTTCCTTGAAAATTTGAAGTAAAACAAAATTGTTTCACCTAATGAAACTCCGCAATCATATCGTGCAAGACTTGGCAATTTAACATTGCGTCTTACTTTATATGCAATAGGAACAGGGAAATTCCGATATCTTAAAGAAAAAAAAAACGAAATATCAGAATTTTAACATTATTTGATTAAAAATATATAAATTGTTTTACAGCTTTAAACCTTCGTTAAGAGTATGCTAGGGATTATCTCACAGAAGTCTCCTTAAATCTTAATAAAATAATGAAATACGTTAAAACAAATATAAATCTGTATTTGAGGTTTGAAATAACTGTATACACTATTTTCTGTCTAAATCTTTGTCTCTGAAATCTTAACTAAATGTATGTTGTTTGATTGTTTTCTACAAATATTATATCAAAATACATTTTTGTTTGTTTCGTAAGCCACAAAATAATATATATTGCAGAAATACAATAATTTGTATTTCCATTTCTTTTGACCTTTAACCTAATTATCTCTCTTCATCTGCCAGTGCTACCAGAAGGAAAGCCTACAATTGATGGAATAGATGGAATGTATGAGATCGGGGATTACGTGAACCTGACCTGTGTATCTAAACCATCTAAACCAGCAGCAGTGTTGTCTTGGACAATTAACAGTCAACTGGTGGGTTAAAAACTCATTTCAATATCGCAGACAGAGTTACTGTAAAAGATACCAGTATAGAGTAGCTTTAGAATATATCAGTATAGAGGCACATTAGAAAATACCAGTATAGAGTAACTTTAGAATATATCAGTATAGAGGCACTTTATAAAATACCAGTATAAAGTAACTTTAGAAAATACCAGTATAGAGTAACTTTAGAATATATCAGCATAGAGGCACTTTATAAAATACCAGTATAAAGTAACTTTAGAATATATCGGTATAGAGTCACTTTAGAAAAGTCAGCATAGAGTCACTTTAGAAACGTCAGCATAGAGTCACTTTAGAAGCGTCAGCATAGAGTCACTTTAAATGAAGTATTCTTAGTTTTTTATGAACTATTACAATAGAAATAATCACTCTAGAAGGAGTTATTGTTGGTATATTATTTTGAGCTATTACAAGATAAGTTACTATTGTTCTTTTGTTCGATACTGTATCACCTGTAAAATTAAACAATAAACATACGTTTATAAAGTAGAAAAATACAAAGGCTCAACCATTCAAGAACTCAACAACTGATTATTACATCATTAGCTAATCTATAGTTACAAAATGTAACTGTTACTTAGCTCAGTACTTGCTGTAACTAACACAGATAACTGGATCATTCTAATCCTGCATATTAGAATGATTATGTTCCTATAATAATATGAGAAAAAAGACTATATAAATATTGAATGTGTTAAAAAAAGGTCCAATATTCTTCTCTGAGTTAGGGAAACTTGGGCTAAGAATAAATATATTTTTTATGCTTTGTGAAACTGAGGCATTTCCTTGAAATATTTATTGAACATCTGAAACAATTGAAAGGTTGTACGGAGGGTTAAGTATATTATATTAAAACGATTTTGTATCCTTAAATCGACAAGTCATACGACAACAACCGCCGAAATAAAGTCACGGTGAAACAGCATGTATCAAAACTATATTTTGATATTGTTTATGAGTTTCGTAGGTTGCGTGATTCCATCGAAAATTCATCGATTTTGGGAATGGCATGGAATAATCCTTTCTGAAGCAAACTATTCATACGCTCTGATCATAAAATGTGGTTAGATTGAAAATTTAGAATTTCTAACACTGCGATACCCTATGTAATTAAGGTATTAGAAAACAAGGGAATAAGGATCAATTTGAAGTAGCAGGACCATCCAGAAAGAGACCTGCAACAAGTTGCACCATAGCTGGGGCACCAATGTCCGGCGTTTTGTGACAGGTGAGAATCCAAGAACAGATAATTAGCAAAAGTCGTCCATTTACGCCCGCCAACAGCAAGAAACATAATTAAGAAGAATTTTCGTCTAGAAAAGAGACACAAGTCTAGTGTACACAAGTAAATTCTGTTCAGTCATCGCACACCTCAAACAATTGGAGAATGAAACGGGTATTTATGCTATTCCATACGGAAACATATCGTTCAAGTCCTCAAACGCAGCATCTATGGTTTTTGTGTGACTGAACTGATGAAACAGACGGTGGGAAATCGTCATCTTCGTACACTAGAGGAAATTTGGAAAGCAGTAGGGAGTAATGATGAGCTTTTGACATGACAGCCTTATAATGGAGCCTTTTGTCAAGATGCACGGTCGTCAGAGTATGATTGGATGTTACGACATGAACTTTACCGACGTGTTGAGACTAGAAAATCATTTTAATAAACCTACTCAACATTCGTATTGATATTTGTTAATTGAAGTCACGCATTGTCTCATGAACTTTAATAAAACCTATCATGTGCAACGTGTCTTTCTAATTAAGTTATTTTATATCTTATGATATTTTGTGCTTCTACAAATAGTGTATGATATAATATTATGTGTAATAACATATAAAATCATCTTGGAAGAAATTCATACGACTGTTCCAAGAGTAGGATAATATTTTATTATATAATATTTTAAACATAAATTTACTGGAGCTTCCGTTTGTTTATAAATGTGTTGCAATACTCAAAGGAGTTACTTTCAATGTTGTATTGTAGGAGATAATGGTGAAGAGAGGACTTTATACGCAATATTATTAACTTACAAATTTGTGTTGATTAACGTCTGTAATACAAGCAGTTAGATCTTCATGTGGTCTTTTGTTTATTTCATTAATTGCAAGAAAGAAATTATAAATAATTTCTTGAATACTTCTTCGAAAATGTTATCAATATTTTAATGAACAAAAACATATCAGTATTTTTGTATTGAATTTTATAAATATACATTATTAGTCTGATTTTTCTGTAAAATTACTCTTATACGAATGTGTTTATAACATATAGAAAACCTGTGTTCATGCCATCGAAACAGTAAAGGTATACCTACTGGAGATTTTGATTGATTTTCTCAAATGGAAGTCACGTGAATTTGTGTCCAATAACACAGCTTTACGGTTTATTCAGTTTTATGAACCATATTAATACCTGTTGTAATAACAAAACTAATATTAATTCCACCCTATGGTTTCTTTCTGTGCCTTATGGGTTTGCTCCTTTTAAAGTTCTAGCGTACTAAGTAATGATATTAAGAATTTCTTATTAGGTGTTAAATAGTTCTTGTGAGGCATTAAGTATTTCTTAATAGATAGTAAGTAGTTCTTGTCAAATTTTAATTAGATCCTGTGAGATATAAAGTATTTCTTATCAGACATTAAAGTATTTCTTGTCAGACATTAAGTATTTCTTATTAGATGTTAACTAGTTTTTGTCAGATATTAAGTAGTTCTTGTCAAATGTTAATTAGTTCTTGTCAGATATAAAATATTTCTTGTCAGACATTAAGTAGTTTTTATCAGATATTAAATGGTTTTTGTCACATATTAAGTAGTTCTTATCACATATTAAGTAGTTCTAAAACATATTAAAAAATGTATAATTTAAATGAAGACTGCATGTTGTTCAGTGTTGGAGAGTGCTGTTTGATGTGGAGGGTTTCTTTAATCATTAATTCCAGGTCAGTATTAGACTTGCAGATGATATAGAAATTTGATAGTATAGGTTGATGTCCTGTTTCTTCAATATGTTGGCATATAGAGGAAACACAGGGGTTACTCAATTTTTTTGCGTTTTTATGGAAACTCCCATATGTTCATAGGCTCTGACTTTTAAATGGCGTTTGGTTTTGCCAAAATAGGAGGCCTTACAGTCTCCACACGTGTAATGATAGACAAGCCAGGAACAATAAGAAATGGGGAGGAGATATTTAGTAGGGAAAAATTTTTATGCGAGATATGGATTTAAAAACTAATCTGAAATCCACTTGAGGGTAGTAACGACCAAGTATGCATTTAAGTTGATTTTTTAAGTTTAAGCTTTGTTTGCTAGTATAGAAAAGACACGAGTATATAGTAAGTATTTAGTTAATTAGTTCTTGTCAGATATAAAGTATTTCTTGTCAGACATTAAGTAGTTTTTATCACATATTAAATGGTTCTTGTCACATATAATTCCGAAACGTTTATCTATGTCCCCCTTTTTGTTAATAAACAATGTTGTATATCATAAGTGTCGTAATCTTGTTTATTATCAAACTTTGTTTTTCTTCTCAGTTCGTAATAAACAGTTATCTTTCTTATTTAACAAGCTGATTCTTAAGTCATATTAGTTTGATCTATACCTTAGTATTCACCAAAATATAATAGTATGTAGAACAGAAGATTTGACAATTTAGGATATGATAAATTATTTTAGTAAAATATTTCTGTATGTAGCGTTTCTCACAGAATCATACTACTGTCATTTAAATGTGGTAGGATATTAATTAACGTATACCATAGTTTAAGAAAAGCTGTTCTATGCCTCAATTATGATTATCATGTAGTTAGTTCTTTTTGTTGCTTTATGTTTAAAGGCTTTTGAATTAGGATGGTAAATTGGTTTCATCTGAAGCACACACCTGTACATGTGAAAATGAACTGATGTATAATTTCTGGCACCAATGAACAAATCACATTGTAGCAGTTACACCTTCAGGCATTTTGTTTAATTGATTAATTAAATAATAATAATAACAACTTACTGTCGGTTAAATCATAATGTAATAATTCTCTGGTAAACTTTAATTTCTAGAGTAATATAACCAGCTTCATAATCTTAAGTACTTTTTAGGCTATACTAAGTTTAATTACTACATATAGATTTGTGGTAAAACGTAATTATTACAAACTTACGTTAATTGTTAGCCCAGTTTATTAATTATGTAAAAATTATTCTATTACTGGTATTTGAGTCAAATACCTATCAGGTGGCTTGAATTTACAATTAGGAGTTAGTTTGAAATTAATAATAATAAAATAGTTTTAAACTTAATATATGAACTTAACTGTTTTAAGGAAATGGGAATGAATTAGAAATCAAAATTAGCTGTTCATTTACTGGTGAAATCTAGAAGTTAATTAGAGTTAAAACTAGTTTGTTTTAAATCAAACTAAGAGCTAGTTTTAAGTCAACTTGGGAGTTAATAATTATGCCAAAACTAGGATTTTGTAGTATGTGCAAACTGGGAGTTGATCTAAACATGAAACTAGGAATTTGTTTAAACTTAAACTCTGAAGATACTGTATCTCAAAACTAGTGTTGGTTTTATGTTTACCAAACAGTTGATGTATACAAAACATTTGTAGTTGGTTTAAAATGAAACTGGGAATTTGTGTAAAATCAGAACTAACTGCTGGTTTAAGCTTAAAATTAGGAATCACTTATAAATCAAAACTAATATTTAGTTGGTATATAAGACTTGAAACTGTTTTTTTATGTTTAAGAAGTTAAGTTGATTTGAATTAAGCTAGAAGTTTGCGTTTGATGACAAAACCTACGAAATGATTTGATGTCAAAATAACCAGTTGTTTTTATTCGAAAACCCAGGAAGTGGGCTCATGTCAAAACTTACAAAAGTTACTTTGAATTCAAGCTAAGGATATGAAATCAAAATCAGCAGTTGGATTGAATTATAGTAGTATAGATATGATGGAAACAATATATACAATGCTTTGGTGATACTTACAGATATTGTTACTTTACACAAATTATCTTTGCAGGGTTTTGATAATTTAACAATAAAATAAAAATTAGTCGCTATTAAAAGCAACTATACGTGTCAAAATATCTGATCTGATATGGAAAGTTATCAACACAGTTTTAATAAATAAATTATCACTTTAGTTCCATACCTCAACACTGTGCATGTTAAAACTTTAGTTCCATACCTCAACGCTATACACGTTAGAACTTTAATAAATAAATTATCACTTTAGTTCCATACCTTAACACTGTGCATGTTAGAACTTTAGTTCCATACCTCAACGCTATACACGTTAGAATTTTAATAAATAAATTATCACTTTAGTTCCATACCTTAACACTGTGCATGTTAGAACTTTAGTTCCATACCTCAACACTATACACATTAGAACTTTAATAAATAGGTTATCACTTTAGTTCCATACCTTAACACTATGCATGTTAGAACTTTAGTTCCATACCTCAACACTATACACGTTAGAACTTTAATAAATAGGTTATCACTTTAGTTCCATACCTTAACACTGTGCATGTTAGAACTTTAGTTCCATACCTCAACATTGTACATGTTAGAACTTTAATAAATAGGTTATCACTTTAGTTCCATACCTTAACACTGTGCATGTTAGAACTTTAGTTCCTTATTTCAACACTGTACATGTTAGAACTTTA